AAAAATCTAGAAGGATATATGCCAGAGCAATGACCATGATGGTGAACCCTGCAGAGGAATCTGGAATGTTCTGGTCATCAAGGAAGACTTTAGCTTATTTGTTAATATTTGATTTTTTTCCACATAAAAATATATTTGTATATGCCTATGTAATTAGCATGTAGTAAAACAAAAATTAAAAGATCCAATGAGCTGCCTTGGGAAGCAGTGGGTTACCAGTCCCTGGAGGCATGCCAGCAGCTCTGTAGGGGTGCAGGGAATTAAAGGAAATTTAAATGCCACAAGGTATCTAAAGGGGTAGACATCCCTTCTGAACCTCAGGAGCCCCAGCAAGGAAGTCAGAGCAAAAGCCTGTGCTCTCTCTACTCGCATCAAGAGTTGCTATAAGGAAGCATAGAGCGTTAGACCCCACAGAAGGGAGAGGCTGGGAGTTGTGAATCTTCAATGTGACACTAGAAGGAATGGGCTGGGCAGAGGCGCACAGACCAGATCTTCAGAGTCCACCTTCCCCTGGCCATCTGCCCCCATCTTCCCTTCCCCCTTTGGGAAAGGATGGAGCAGAAAGATGGCCCATTCTGTCCCAGCAGCCCCCAGCCCTGGCCAATGTGACCAGCTTCAGGGGTGCTTCAGGGATAAAGGCTGTGTGTGTCCCTAAGAGGAGCTGGCACTGGGGCAAGAGTTCAGGAAGGAAGGAGGAGGAGAAAGCGGTGATAAATGCTCACAGAGCTGACTGCCACGGACCGTGATCAGTACTAAGCCCAGGCAATGGCCCAGGCAGCAAAATTAGCCCAAACCCCAAACAGACTGAACCTGTGAGGCCCGGATGGACCCTGACCCTGGGCAGGAACTGCGCCCTGACAATATAGCAAGTAGAGACCAATGAGGCCATTACCTCCAAGGCAGCTATGGGGTCACGGGAAGAGTCAGGACACGCGGGTCCGAGTCCCTGATTTCCCACAAGACCCTGACAAAGTCACTGAACCCTGTGGGGCCTCAACTCCTTCATCTGCAAACTGGGTGAATGGTAGTTACTCCCAAGCTTGCTGCAAAGATGAAATGAGATCTGGCCCACTTACCCTCTTTGTGAACCACAGGGACTCGCACAAAATGTGAGGCCCACCCACGCCTCAGACACTGGGCACTGAGAAAAGGAGGGGGCAACAACTGAGCTCCAGAAGCAGCTGGACTGCTGCCAGGCCAGGAGCCCAGGGCAGCCAGGAAGGAGCCCACTGCCGAGCCCAGGAGGCAGCAGGCAGAGGAGTTCTCCAGGAGGCAAGGGCCCAGGAAGAAACCAGAGCGAGTCTGAGAGGGCAGAGGAGACTTTCTTGGCCACTGTCATGGGCCTGGGGCCAGGGTTGCTCAGGGAGGGCAGGGGAGCCACTGGCAGGTGCCAGGGAGGAGTCTAGTTTCTAACTGAAGCCTGGGGAGCAGACCCTGGGAGCTGGACTAGTGAGTCCTTGCCTCACAGGTAGCCCAGGGAACTGGGGCAGGGCGGGCCTCAGAACTAGGAAGGGGGCTCAAGGAGAGGGAGGACGGAGCACAGTCCCTGAGAGAAGTCGAGACAGGCTGCGATGAGCAAAGGTGCCGGACTGTGCCCCTGGACTCGGACATGGACGGCCTTGGAGGATTTGATTTGCGGGGGGTGGTCTTGCTGAGAAGTGGCAGGAGCCATACAGAACAGGCTCAGGGTGTCTGTCCTTAGAGAAGCAGGGTCACCGAGAAGCAAGGAGGTCTCAGCAGGCCTACATGGTGAAAGAATCAGCTTTGGGGAAGGGTGGAGCAGAGACGAAGCCCAAGGTGGGCTCAGCTGTCCCAGGGCCTGCTCCCCAGCTCCCATCAGGGAGGCCCTCAGTCTATGGCAAGTACTGAGTCCAGGATGGGACCAACCAAGGGCAACAGAGCAGACAGGGTACACATTCTAGCCCTGAGCCTCCATACGTGACCAAGGCCGCTGTCAAAACTAAGGTACCTCCACAACTCCTGCCTTCCTGGCCCTGAAGCCAGAGCCTGGACAGAGAAGAATGCCTGCCCAGCCCCATTCTGCAGGACCCCAGGCAGCTGGACTCCCTGCTGGACAGCAGCCAGACAGCCCGGCCTGCTGCTGGGGCCCAGCCTGTCTGGGAGCTGCAAGGAGGGAGGCAGAGGCTGGGCCACCCTGAACTGGGGCCCCAGAGGAGGGTGGAGGTGGGGCAGGCAGAAAAGGCGCTTCCAACAGCTCCCTCCCTGGCAGGCCCCTGCTCTCTGTGGGCTTGTGGCCACATGCAGGCCCAGGCACACCTTGTCTGTTCCCAGCATTCCCAGGACAGGGCAGGTCAGCTGCTCTAGCAACAGGAGGCTGCGACAGAGCTGAAGCCCAGCGACTCCCTGTCTGCTGCTTTGAGCTGGGCTAGGCTGCAACTTGAAACTTCCCTTGCTGCCTCAATGAGATGTTTGTTTGCTCCTCAGGCCACAGATACAGGTTTCAGCCCTGGCCTATCAGAGGATCCATGCAGGAAGCCACTTCAGGCTGCTACCCACTGGTCACTTCCTACACAGACCCCATGCCATCAGAGACAGGCACCCAGGGCATGGCCCAAACTTCAGCCCTCCCTTCTCCTGCTAGCTCTCCCCAAACACGGCTCTGGACTGTACCCTAGACTGCACCCAGCACCCACGTGACAGCCTAACAGTCCACGTTCCTGCAGCTGTGGTAGGACAGGCAGTGAGGACAAGAGATTTCTGCCATGGCCAGCCTGTGACACCAGGTGTGAGCCCAGCAACCAGGCCAGCCTGGAGAGGCCACGCTGCTCACACCAGAGGGCTGCCTGCCCATCAGCCAGGACCGACTCATGGGTCAAAGAGAGGCCTGTGCATCAGCAATCTCTTCCACCAGACACCACCAAGGAACAGCCTTCTGGGAGGGGAATGGCAGAAAGGAGGCACACACCTGAACAGCCTCTTTGGTCCTCTAAGGCAGAGGTCCCCCAATCCCTGGGCCACAGACGGGTACCAGTCCATGACCTGTTAGGGACCGGGCTCACAGCAGGATGTGAGTGGCGGGCAGGCTAGCAAGCCTTACCGCCTGAGGTCTGCCTCTGTCAGATCAGAGGCAGCATTAGATCTCATAGAAGCGCAAACCCTACTGTGAACTGCGCATGCGAGGGATCTAGGAGTGCGCTCGTTATGAGAACTGAACTGCTGCCTGATGATCTGAAGTGGAACAGTTTCATCCCAAAACCATCCTCCCCGACCCCGTCCATGGACAAACTGTCTTCTAGGAAATGGTCCCTGGTGCCAGAAAGCTTGGAGACCACTGCTATAAGCCACCTACTCAGCCACGGCCACCACCTCAAGTCCACTGCCACCTTTTCCATAGTGCAAAGCTAACTACTACTTCTCTCCCCTGCTTACAAACAACCTAGAGCTCCCCAGTGCCTCCAGGGCCAAGTCTCAATTCCTTCACGCAGCACCAGCCTCTCCCCAGCCATCTCCACTGCTTCGCTAAACACCCAAGACCACTAGCCATTCCCGAACCATGGGATCCTCTTGTTGCCTGCCTTTGCATATACTGTTCCCCAAGCCTAAAGTGCCCTTCCCTCTTCCTCCACCTGGCAAACCCCTGCTCCTTCCTCAAGGTCCAGCTCACCATCACCTCCTCCAGGAAGCCTAACCAGATCCTCCCTCTCGACCTGCCAGGGAGAAATGACTTGCTCTCCGTGGCACCGGATCCATAAGCAAGCCTGGTGCTTCCTACCTTCAATCACAGGACCCAAGCAACAGCTCCTCAAAAAATTTGGGGTAAAGTGACTTCTCTATTTTTTAAGTTTTCCAATCTGATGCCAACATATGTTTTTGTGAAATAAAATTAAAAAGGATGTGGCAATGTCAAGTTGCCAAACAAGTTTCTCAAGGCTTATTCTCAAAGTCTGCATGCCTCTCACCACAGACCCGACCAGCACAGCTCAGGATGGGCGGAGGTCTGGGGACCACGGACTCCAGGGCCAGGCAGAGCCACTGCGCTCCCGGTGTTCCAGAAGGAGCCTGGTGCAGGGCCTATCAAGAGTCAGGTGTGTATGTCTGGACCCCAGAGAACAAGGGGCTTCTCCATGAACATCTGCTGTCCCAGACACTGGATGGGAAAGTCTGAAAATGCTGTAACATGGGTGGTCCTGGTGACAGGCCTCCCATTCCTCAAATGGTCACGTAAAGGCATAGAGAGGATGAGCTGCCCCAGCCATAGTGGCCCACGTGCTGTACTTTCTCTACACTGCCCAGCATCTCAGGGGCAGGAACGTGGAATCTGCAAGTTAGCTGTCCAAACTCCTGCCCCACATGGATGACTGACAGTATCCCCACCGCAGTCCCAGCAAGCCAGTCCCATGCTGTGATAAAGAGCTCAGACTCTGGAAACAGACCTAGGTTCATATCCTGGCTTAGCCTTTCATACCTGTGTGACCTCAGGTGAGTCACCTCACTTCTCGGGGCCTCCATGTTACCTCTGTAAACCACACCTAATAAAACTAGCATCATGGGGCAGCTGTGAGGGTTGAAGGGAATGTGCCCATCTACACTCATTTGGGCTTGGCTGTCACTGATGTTTATAAAAGGCCCAGGGTCTGGCAGCTGGAAACTCTGCCCTGGATCCTCCTTTTCTGCTCGCCCTTCCCAGGAGACCCAATATCTTCTCTTTGGGGTCAAGAGAGACTGCTGGTTTCCCTGCTGCTAAGTTTGCTGATTTTCTTTGAGGACTTCCCTGCCCTCCACCTCCCTCAGGCCAAGGGGCTTCTCTCCTTCCTCCCCCTCCACCCCTGCTGGGGGCACCACTGTACCCCCTCTCCAAATGCCAGCTCCCTCTGGCTGGTCTTGCTTTCTCTTGGAACAAGGCTGCCCTAAAGAGGGGCACCCCGGCCCCCTGGGAAAATGCCACTCTGTTTGGGTTGGGGCAGTAAAGGGCTGTGAGGTCAGGGATGAGCCCCAGCCAACCACCTCCCAGCAGCCCCCAGAGCCCACACTCTCTGTACCTTAGGCCATGATGGTGCCGAGTCCGCCCCGGCTGGGTCCCAGTCAGCTGCTCCCACGAGAAGTTCACTTCCTGCTGGGGCAGAGGGTCTGGTGAGCTGCTCCCCATGCCCCTCAGCCGTCCTGGAGCCTCCCAAGCCAGGCGTCTCCATTCCCTGGCATCAGGCAGCCGGATCCTTTGCTGGCCCTCACCCCTTTCCCTTGGGGAAAGTGAGAGATAGTGGGAGAAGCCACTCCGGGAAAGCTGACATTGTGGGGGCGGTTCCATATTTACTTGCTCAGTGACGTCCATACCAGCCCAGCTCAGTGCCCTAGTCAAAGTGATCCTCCTGCCTGCTGGTCCCACTCTCACCCACAACTCTGCCAAAAGCCTAGGGGAAGGTGCCCACTGGCCACCACCCCCATTTCGACCCCAAGCTCCTTCCAGTCACATTCGCTGATATTCATGCAGTAGTGGACAACCTCTGTTGCAGGGCGCAGAGGCTGTGCCAACTCTCTGGGGTCCCCATTCTGCTCTGATTCCAGGAGAAGAACTGGGGTACAGAGGAAGGGGTGCAAGATTTGGGGTCAGAATTTTAGCTTGGTTACTCCCTAAACTGTATGAACTCCAAGTCACCTCCCCCTTCTGAGCCTCAGTTTTCTGAGCTATACAATATGGGGTTTAAGGGCCAACCTGCCTGGGCTAGTGATTGGGGATCGGAGAAGGTGCAGTTGGGAGGAAGAGAGTCCTCGTTGCTCTTAGGATCAGGTGGGGTAGGGGAGAGAGGACTGGAAGGAAAAGTTCCAGAAGGCACTGAAGGCTCCAGAGGCCTGGGGTGCCTCACTTTGCAAGCAGGGAACCCCCTACCATTAGCACCAACCCCTGGTCTGAGGCTGCTGCTTGGGAGCAGGATGGCCAGCAGCTATCTGCCCCCTCTCTAGTTCACTCCCCTACCCAGTATCATTTCAGTGGAGCCTCTTGGTCTGTTTGAATGTGTCTACAACTTCTGATCTGTGAGGTTCCTTGGATGGGATAAAGTCTGAAACCAAGACTCTATAAATCAAATCCTGTTTTTATTAATGTATTATTGTTTTTTGAGACAGAGTCTCATTCTGTTTCCCAGGCTGGAGTACAGTGGTGTGATCTCAACTCACCACAGCCTCAATCCCCTAGGCTCTGGTGATCCTCCCACCTTAGCCTCCCAAGTTGCTGAGACTACAGGTACATATCACCAGGCCCAGCTAATTCTGTTATTTTTTTTTTTTAAACACAGGGTCTCACTATGTTGCCCAGGCTGGTCTCAAACCCCTGGATTCAAGCGATCCTTCCACCTCAGCCTCCGAAAGTGCTGTGATTACAGGCATGAGCCACTGTGCCCAGCCCAAATCCTATTTTTAAATCGCTCAAGAAATCTTCTGGGAATTGTTATGTAATACAAGTAGGCAATCCCAAAGGCTTCCTTTATCAATGTGGCCTTCTTAAGGAGATTGGAACAATGAGACGACAGCTGTGTGGCCTTGAGTTGGTCACGTAACCTCTCTGAGCCCCAGGCTTCCTCATCCATCAGGGGGTGCAGGAGTAATCTCACCCGACCTTTGTCAGTGTCCTGGTGCTCCCTATGTGTTTTGTCCAGTTGGTTACCAACCCAGAGATAATAGCACCTTAAACTCGGTCCTGCAAATACAGAGGAAAAAATCTTCCGCAGAATGCAGGGCAGGTCTGATATTACTGAGTCCATTTATAGAAAGGAAACTGAGGCCCAGATAGGTTAAATATCTTGCCTTAAACACAAGACACTGGGGCAGCATGAGTGCCTGAGGCTATGGCCAGATCACCTTTAAGTACAGACATGCTCACTGTCTCATATCTGGGTACTGCCATCCCATCCCCAGCAAGGGGCACAAGAGGACCCCCATACCTCCCCCACATCCACTGGCCTCACACCCAGGAGATGGCCTGACACTGGCCCTACGCCATTCACTGGTGCTCTTTCTCCGGAGCTGTTCATGCAGCCCTCAGAGGCCAGTATCGGCATTACCCTGTTCTGCAGATGAGAAAATGGGTAACTCCAAGAGAAGCAGCCTCCTGCTCAGATCTCACCACTACCTGGTGCCAGAAACAAGACTAACGTGGGGCCCACACCCTCTCCAGGGCACAGACTGGACCCCGCCAGCCAGCTCCCTGGCTCCTTCTCAGTTCCCCTTCCCTGCCAAGGGACCAGCTCAAGGTACTTTGCTGGATTTTTATCTGCAGGTCCCCTCCCTACTCAGAAGCAGAAGTCTGGCACAGTTGAGGAAACATCTGGTCCCTAGAACTGAGCCCCAACCCATCCGCTCTGACCTTCACTATAGAGGGCCAAGTTCCCCCTACTTCTCCCTGGGAACTGTCACTCTCAGCTCTCACCTTCATCCTCTCCTGCCTCAATTACTAAGAAAGCCTCTTATTTGGCCTCCCTGCTTCCAGCCTCATGCCCAAGCCACTCCTGCTGTGTTTCGGAACGTGGATCTGATCACCGTGTCAGCTTCCTCCTCATAAAACCCTCTGAGGCTCCCTGTGGCCCAACAGACAGAGCGTAAACCCCCCCTCAGCACAGCAGTCAGGACCTGCTACAGCCTAGTAAGGGCCAAGTATCTGGGTTAGGCCAGAGGGTTCAGGAATCCAGTGCCCTGAGTTTGAATTTCATTAGCAACTGTGAAACCTTGGGCAAGTGACGTGATCTCTCTGAGCCTCAGTTTCCTAAACTGTAGAATGGGGAAATAACAATACCACAATCAGGGCACCACTGTGAAGATTTAAAAAGACAAAGCAGGTGAAGTACTTTGCACATAGTAGGTGCTCAATTCATCCACTCATTCTACAAGTATCTGAAGCTCTAATTACTATATGGCATATACTGTTCACACAGCAGTGAACGAAACTAACGAAAATCCCAGCTCTCTGCAAACTTGCTTTATAATGATGGGAGGCAGATGAAAAACAAAATTAAAAAGTCAAACATGGAGCATGGGATAAGTGCTATTCACTAAAGAGAGAAAACAGCAGGAAGCAGAGAGGGTGTTGGGGTGGGTTGCAATTTTAAATGAGAAAGTGCCCATGGCCCGGCCCAGTGGTTCACACTTGCGATCGCAACACTTTGGGAGACCAAGGCAGGTGGATCACTTGAGGTCAGGAGTTCAAGACCAGCCTGGCCAACATGGTGAGACCCCGTCGCTACTAAAACTACAAAAATTAGCTGAGTGTGGTGGTATGTGTCTACAGTCCCAGCTACTCAGGAGGCTGAGGCAGGAGAATCGCTTGAACCCAGGAGGCAGAAGTTGCAGTGAGCCAAGGTCACGTCATTGCATTCCAGCCTGAGTGACTGAGTAAGACCCTGACTCAAAAAAAAAAAAAAAAGTGCCCATGAGAAGGCAGTGTTTAAGCAGAAGTCCTGGGGGAGGCGAGGGGGGCCCGCCATGGAGATAACCGGGGCAAGAGTGATCTAGGGAGGGGATGCGACCAATGCCGAGGACCGGGACCTGCGTTAGTCAAACTATTATTATTGCTATTCTCTTTCCAGCCTCATCCACCTCCATCTCCTCCCCTTACACTTACTCTCAACCCAAGTGAAGTACTCAAGCCTCCCCAGACCCTTCCACGCACCTATGCTTCTGGACAAGCCATGCCCCGGGCCTGAAGTCTCTCCCCTCCTGTGTTCTCCAAATCCTACTCACTCTTCAAAGCCCAGCCTAAAGACCTCCTCCTCAGGGAAGCATTCCCTGACTTAGAGTGAGTGGTTGTCTCCTTTGCATCCTTCTGCCATAAGCTGCAACGGCCTGGTTCTTTGCCCAACTCCCAGGCTGATCTGTGAGCTCTGGAAGGGCAGGGACTCAATTGCACATGGCACCACCCAGGCCCAGCACAGTGCCTGGCACAGCGATGGCATGCATGCCCTCACCACCTGGTCATACCCAGACTGTGGTCCAGGTCTCCCCAGCAGAGCCACCACAGTCCGGAGACACCACCAGCAAGGTGACTGCATTGTGTGAACACCGGCCTTTTCAACAAAGATACAAATCTGCAATAGGAAACAGGCTTTTTAAAAAAACAACAGCACAATTTTCTTTTCTCTTTCTGCACAGCTTGTTTTTCCAGCACAGCTCCAGGGTCAGCTGTCGGGAAGCCCCTCCCAGGCCCCACTCTGAGAACATGGGGCTCTGTGGCCTCCAAGGACTCGCAGCCTCCAGCAGGAGGTAGAGATGCACCAGACAGTTGTACACCAGCCCTGGCACCAGGGCCACTAGCCACCTCCGAGCGAAGAACCCCCTGCTCAAACCCCGATGTTAGGTAGGTGGTACTCCACTGGAGGCCCGCTCTCCCCTGAGGGCTTTATAACCCCACATGGTGCTTCCAAAGGGGCTTCTCCCCAGTGGGCTTGGGGTTCTCTGCCCTCACTCCAAGAGGGCATACTAAGGAGGTGACCTCAGACTGCTAAGGTTCTAATCCTGGTTATGCCATTAACCCTGGGTCCCTTACCTCATCTTTTGGAGCCTCAGTCTCTCAATCTGTGAAACGGGAGTACTATCTAGCTTGTGGAGCTGTTTTCAGCGCAGGGTATGTGACATGCTTAGACATACCTGGCACACAATAAGCCCTCAAATAACATTAGCTGCCATCATCTTCATCCTCATCATCATCACCTTTTTCTTCTTCCTCTTCATCTTCCCCAGATCACCTGCTCTGTAGCCCCTTCACTGAATCATATACTGGCTAGATGAGCAGGGGCCTCAGGGAATGTTGACTCTCATCCTCCTGCTTTCCTGGAATATCCTCTGCTACATCCCTGGCATACAGTCCTCCTGGCCATAAACACCTGTAAGGATTGGAACGTACCAGCTATACTCTACAAGCCAGTCATGTTGCCAGCTATGCCTAACACCTCCATCCAGCTGAACCCACCAGCCCATTGCTCAGGGAAGCAGCGTTCACTCATCCTGTCCCTAGTCCCCAGCACACACTGAGCTCTCTATCCACACTCAAGGATTCAGCAGAAGGTGTTTGGTGAGCAACTCTCAAGCGCAAACCCAACAGCACACTCAAGCCAACCCCGGCAGAGCTTAGAGTCTGACGGAAGAGCAAGGCTACAACCAGATCATTACACCAATAAGTGGAACATTGCTATGGATGTGAGTGCTCCAAAGGAGAGGTAGGTGGGCCAAGAGAGCTATAAAGAAGGGGGTTCAGCCTAATCAGGGAGGGCTTCCCTGAAGAGGGGATGTGAAGACAGAGGAGGAAGGATGAGGAGGCCTCATCAGGAGGGGAGTGGAATGCAAGGTCAGGGCAGAAGGAACAGCATGAGGAAGCCCCATGTTAGGCAGAACATGACAAATGGGAGGCACAAAAGATGGTGTCCCCACAGAGACTGGAGGGCAGCTGGATTTCTGTCATTTGCATAGCAGCAATGGTCTTTCAGGCAGGGGGTTATAAGCTCAGATATACATGTCGAAAAGATCACCCTGGCTGCTTTCCAAGTCAGGGTCCTCTCTCTGTGTATTAAGTGCACATGCACTCCTTGTCTCTGCCTAAAATGCCTCTCTAGTCCCTGTATCAGTCAGCACAGGCTAAGTTATGCTGCAGTAACAAAAGGGCCCCAACAGCTCACTGTTTGTTTAAAACAACAAAGGTTTAGTTATCACTCCTGTTGCATGTCCATCATGCACAGAGTGACTCAGGGATTCAGGCTGGCAGCAGCCACCCCCATTCCACATTACTACCAGTTGCCATGTCACAGGGAAAGTGCACTGTGGAAGGTCTAACCAGCAATTAAATGCTGTAGCCCAGAAGTGACATACATCGCTGTCATTTATAACTCATCAGCCAGTCACAGGGCCCCCCACCCAAGTGCAGGTAGAGCTCTAGTCAACCTACTGTGGACCTGGAAGAACCAGAAATAGTAAGAAGAAAGCATTAAGGACCCCAGACACCCCCATCCCACTGTGCCCTTCGCTAACCTTAATTCGTTCATTAGATGACAATGGCTTCAGGATTTGAGGAGGAAAGTCCAGCTTGTGTAGGAGAGATCAGTACGGTGTTCAGAGAGATCTAGGAGAGGGTAGAGGATGAGGTCAACGGCAGGGGCCAGATCACTCAGAAGCTTTTAGATCACTGCACTAATTTGGTTCTTTATCCTCAACACACTGGAAAGACTTCTAGGTGTTTGAAGTAGGAAATGGGATCCCTGACATGATCCGATTTGGAACAGATCACTCTGACTGCCATGAAGGGGAGGTTGCAGGTGTACATCAGCAGGCTCCTGCTGCTGTCCTGGGGAGAGACAGCGATGGCCTGACTATGATGCTGGGGAAGAGGGAGTGGAGAGAAGTGGATGGGTTCATTTGAGAGGATGAAGTTATCTGGGCCTGGAGATGGAGCAGATTGGGATGAGAGAGACAGGCAGAGACACCAAGGCTTCTGCCTTAAAGAGTAGTGGGCAGTGTGCTCCTGCCCAAGATCAGAGCCCTAGAAGAGGTTTAGAGAGGAAGATTACGGCCAGCTCAGGCATGTGTGTTTGTCATGCTTATAAGATAGCCAAGAGACCAGGCCGAGGAGGCCGATGATGCCACACATAGGACTCCTGACTCCTGGTCCAGTGCTCTTTATTTCATACTTGACAATATAACCTGGAACCAGGGAAACTCCTTGTAAGCCCAGGAGAAGGCAGATCCAAATAAGAGAAATTCTACTTGACACCAAGGAGAACAAATTGATGGAACGCATCAACCCAGGAAGTTTAGACGACAGAATTGTAACTCAGGTCAAATGAGTCTGTAAGTGCAGAGGTGATGGCTTCTGTGACCCATCTAGGACTCCAGGGACAAGTGAGGGGAGTCCTTCATCTCAGGAAACGAGACCCTGCCACCAGCTGTTCCTTGGGGGCCCTGTCAGTTTGAGACTGGATGGAACACACTGGGTTCTGCGGGGAAATTCTGATAGTCCTAGGACAGAATATTCTGCAGGAATTCTGGGGCGGGGGTCGCGGGGGAGGGAACATTTCTTAAACAGTATGCCAGGCCCTAGAATAGGCATTTCATCTTTGCTATCTCATTTAATTTCACAACTGCCTTGCCAGACAGGTTGTGTTGGGCTTATCCTAGGGATGGAGACACAAGGCTCAGAGAGGCCAAAGACGACGATGTGAAGTCCAAAGCCACACAGCGACTATGCCGGGAGGTAGAATTCAGAGAGAAGCCCTTTCCATCAGACTGAATACAGCAAGAGGCGAGGGCTCTACTCCCAGAAGGGCAGGTTTCCAGACATGCCAAACAGAACTCTGCTTGTCCGCCTTTCAGAGAATCGGCGGGCAAAAACTGTGCCCTGTTCCCCAACCATGACCCCACACCCCACACAATGACCCTAGGAAAGCCCCAACCCTCCTTCCTCTCAAGGGGAACCGTGGCCAAAGATCAGCTTGGGTGCTACAGGCATCATGCTCCACGGAAAATTCTTCTCTCTCCAAACCCCCAAAGTTTATAGGGTTTCCAGGTACCAAGAGCAATCTCTCATTATTGCAAACTGGCTCACGCACAGAGCTGGGTGTGTCTCCCTGAAGCCACTCAAAATTATACAGCACAGCCTTTCTCCACACGAAGCAACCGTCTAGGAAAGAGGAGAGGTTTCAGATTTTTCTCTCCTAAATCCCAGCCCAGCCTGGGCGAAGGGTCTAAGCCCTCATCTCTCAACTGGGCTCTGGACACACAACAGCAACTTTACAAACCAGCATCGCCCAAGACATTGGTATTCTCTTTGCAGCGACTCGCCTAGGGCACGCTGGCCTTGACCGGAGAGAGGTCACTGGCCGCTAAGTTTCTGCAGTTTCTGCGTAAGGCGAGTACCTTGGGGACTGCGAGTGGGGGGTGGAGGCTACGCTCCAGAGAGGGTTCCCGAAGAGTCTACACCGCAGCTAACACTTAAAACGCATTCCAGAAATGCCCTCCGGCTCGGCCACGCTTCGCGATGGAGAGGGCTTCCTGGCATCCCGAAGGACGCCTCCCACCTTCATCCCCGAGCCCCCCGCAACAGCCGCCGGCGCGGGGCCGAGGGCGTCCGCGAGAAGTAGGCCGGCGGCCGCAGCGAGCCCTCCGGCGCCCGCGCCCCGCCCCGCCCGTGTCACCGCGTTCTCATTCCGAACGCCCGGCCCGGGCCGCCGCTCCCATTGGTCGGCGGACACGTCCGTCAGCGGGCGCGCCGCTCGCGGAGAGAAAAGGCTACAATGTAACAAGGCGAGGAGCGAGCGAGCGGGGAGGAAGGAGGCGGAGGGCGGCCCCCGGCTCCCGCGGCAGCGGCAGCTACCTGCCGAGGGTTCGCCCACCTCGGGGCCCCGGCGGGCCGCCCCCCGCCCCGCGCCCGCGCCGCCCGGACCCCCGCCCCGCGCCCGCGTCGAGCCCCCCGGCCGCCCGCGCCCCCCGCCGCCGCTCCCGGCCTCCGCACCGGCGCCCCCCGCGCTCGCTGGCAAACTGCCGAGCGCTCTCCGAAGCCATTTTCAATGGCCACATTGGCTACCGGGGCTGACTCACCTTCCCGGGAACGCTGCGGCAGCCGCGGGGCCCGGGCGGCGGGGGCGGCCCGGCGGGCGGCTCGGCGGAGGCGGCGCGGCCCCGGCTGGCGGCCCCCGCGGCGGGAGCGGCCGCGCTGCGGGCGCGCTGGTCCCCGGCGAGGCAAAGTTTCAGCGCCAGCCTCGGCGCGGCGGCGGCGGCGACTCGCTGCTGCTCTCCTCCCCTGCTTTGACCACCATCTTATTAGTACAGGAAATGACATGGAAAACGGAAGAAAGCGGCGTTTGGGGCAGACGCGGACCCCCCAATTCAGGGGCCGGAGCCGGGACTCACCAGCCGCGTCCCGACCCGGCCCCGGAGAAAACTCCCGGGGCCCCTTCGGCCCGTGCCCTGCCCGGAGGGGGAAACCCGGCTCCCCAAACCCAAAGGGAGAGGGAGCGTTTTATAATCCAGCCCGCGGAGAAATCGAGAAAAAAATAGATGAAAAAAAGAAAAGGTTAAGAGAACTTTGGAACTGGGAACTGGGATACTTTTTTGGGGTCGGAAGTAAAAAGTTCTCCAATTTTAAAAAAAGTCACTGCGAGGGGGGCTCCCCGGCTCTCCTGGTCCCTTGGCAGTCCATTTGGAACCAAATAGTCGCGGGGGAGTCGACGCGTTTGGATTTTTAACCCTTTCGGGGCTCTGCAGCTGGCCCCCTCCCTGTCCCATTTAACCCTTTGAATGCTCAGCAGTTTGGAGATAAAAATTGAAGTTGCAAAACGTAGGCGTCCCGCCAAGGCTAAGGGTGAGGGGCTTGGGTTTCGTTAAAAATATTAACTCTTTACCTGGGGCTGCGGTTTTGAAGTCGCGAACCGCACATGTTCTTCAAATCGAAATACGTTACAGAGGGAGAGACGTTCTGAGAACTGGTGGGGACGGACCCTGGCCGGCTTAAAAAAGATCTCCAAGCTGCATTCACTTGCTCGATTCCTCAGTTTCTTCATCTGTGAAATGGGATTCGACATCACAGAGAAGGGGTGATGAGGGAAAGACGGGGTCGGGGGTGGGATTGTCACAGTGCTTAAGAGCTTGACATGCTTTCCAGGGCGCTGGGAAAACGGACAGGTTGTGATGGGGCTGGAAGCCTCGGAGCAGGGCAAGGGACACTGCGGCGCGGCGTAACCGGGACAACCATTCCCCAATCAACTCGTTTCTCGTGGCGTCCTCTACAAGTCCTGTGGCCCAATGGCGGTGTCTCTCCTACCAAGGGAGGATGCGATATGTAGGCTCTAAAACCGGGGCGGAAACCCCAGTTGGTGGTTCCTAGGAAGGCGCCTGGGCGAGGCGCTGTCCAGTGAGAGGCTGTCCCTCCCCCACACGTCCAGGAAACTCTGCAAGAGTTGCTCAGCCGCCCCCCACCCACCCACCAACGAGGGTACTACCCCAGGGAAGCCTCCTCCCAAGGCGGATAGAGTTCTCTGTCAACCGTGCTGCTGGCGATCCTCAGATGGGCATCCATGCTCAGACCTCTGGGCCTGCTCATGGCTTTTGGAATCTGGAAGTGGAGCTGGAGGCGGTGGGGATGATGAGGGAGGGAACACCGTAGGTACCACATCATCTGTTTCCCTTGACTCTGGCATCACAAACACAGCTTCTTGGAATCTCATGCCTGTTATTGGTTGTGTGACCTTGAGCAAGTGGTTTCACCTCTCTGAGCCTTTATTTCCTGCATCTGCAAAGTGGTGCACAGTAATACCCACGTTCCTGACTCTACATAAGGAGCCACCAGAGTGTATATAAAGGGCCTGGCACCCAGCTGCTCACAGTAGATGCGCAAGAGAAAAGAACCACCCTAACATTATATGAGGTTCAGTGCAATTGTACCATTCCTGAGTATCTCTTGCTTGGTGCCAGGCAGAGTATTGGGTACTGGGGGTCCGAGGGGGGTTCCACGATTTGAATGACAAGATCCTTCAAGGAGGTCTTGGTCTGCCCAGGAGATGAAGGCACTTGAAGATAACTTGAATTAATTCAGAACTGTATGCACCTCCAGCTGCACTGAGCATCATTTTGGATGCCAAGTGCCGGGCTGGAAGAAGGGGCACCGAAGAAGGAGTCATTTATTGTTCCTTCTGAGGAGAAAGGTTCGCCAAGGGAGTGATGTCCGAGGCAAGCCTGGAATTTCCACCAGTGGTAGGATGGCATTGCCAGGAAGGCAAACAGCTGGCGCAAAGACCGCGAGGCGTCAACATGGCCGGGGGGTTGGACATGTGTCCTGCAGTGACTGGGGTAGAGGGTGAGGCAGAGATAATAGAGATGAGGGCAGAAAGAGAAGTGGATAAAGAAGGGGTGTGGTCCCCACCTCCAGAGAGCAAAAAGATCTTTAAGAGAATGATCTGACAAGTTGGAAGTGAGGTAAGGAGGGTATTTCTTTGGTGCTGGTTTTCTATTTA